AATTAAGGTTTTGTTTATCAATCTTAGACAACGAAAAATCGCTGACCTTGACTGACTAGGTACTTAACCAACAAATGACTAATGCGTCATATCCGTTAATGAAGTGGCTTGGCTTAGAAAATGTTAACTTCCTGTTCCTGTTTTTCAGATATGCTTGTAAAAGGTAAAAGTACAAATCTTAATTATATTACCCTGTAAGTCCGCTTTACCGACGGCTTTAAGTTGCGAATAAATAGTCTGCTGATTTTTAAACATTCACCTAAACGATCCGTAGCGATAAAAACGTCCTATTCCTGAAAAGGAGAGTTGTTAGTCGGGAGCCTGTGTTGAACATCCGTTTCATGTAACTTTAACATCATCAGTTTCCATTGCTTCTACCTCTGTCTTGGCATCGCCAACTACTCTTGGTGACAACTGTCCTTTTCAGGACTAGCCTCACCCGGACAGTCGTCTACATTATGATTTCCGTGCTCAAACATTCACTGCAGTTCTATCGGTAGAAATTACTACACGAAGGGATTAGATTAAGAACACAAGGCTTTACGGTCCAAGTGACGCAAAATTTTAAAAGAAATCTCACAGCATCAACAAAAACTTCTATAAATGGTTTACTAAAAGCAATTGTGATATTATGTAGCAAAGAACTTTGAAATGAATTTCTCATTTCGAGTCCTGTTCTCTGTAATAATCTCAAGATAGCATCTGTTGAAATATCTCTGAAGATTATGAATTTTAAGGAGAGCAGATGTCACGATTAATTACTGCATTATGGATGGCTTGGAATGTATTCAGAAGCGGAAAAAATTCCTCGCTCGTTAAGTCGGGGATTGGAACAATTTGGTTGTAAATAGCAAACGCATCATGAAAAGGCAAGGAGTTCAAACATCGACCACCGGATTGACGATTGATTTGGTAGAAGTTCCTGTTTACATAGATTCCCCAGTACACAGAGGTTGGAAGGGTTCTAGTGGGGTCCTCGTTGAAAAATGTGGCACTTTGTAAGTGCCTTTTCCAAATCAACCTCAAACAAAAAGAAAACAAGAGAACGAAATTTATGCCAAGAAATATATCGCTAGTACAACAGAGTATAAAGTACATTTTTCTGAAATTGAACATTCTCTTTTCAATTCTTATTTGTTACGCATGAAATGAAAGCGAATATAGCAAAATTTAGTTGATGGTCACGCAACTATTTCGAGCCACCTTGAACAGTAAAGAGTCACTTTTGTTACCTAGAAACCTCTAAAATGATTGGTGAGTAAGTGCTGTTATTATATCAAAGTAGTTTGATTCTTAAAGATACTGCTGACATTCTAAGTGTAATAGCTACATCTTTTTAGATGATCATAGTTATGATGATCAAGATAGTGATAGAGGTGACACTTTTTACGGAATACTGCAAAGTAGCTCCTCGCCGGACTGGAGTCTTCAATACAGTAGCTTGTTAGTGCTTTTTCATTCCGATAGCAAGTCCGTGATGTATTTCAAAAAAGGGGCCAGCTGCAGACTATTTCTGGCCGGAGGTAATGATAAAATAAACTAAAACCTAACAAATTAACTTCGTTCGTCTTTCGTTATTTTGAACTAAAAGTGGAGCTCGTAGGCTGCGCTTCAAGCAAGACGTTAACATTATTCGATTCATGCAGTCCAGACTTTCCATTAGTTAATTTCTCGATGAACGCACGCTAATTTACGAACTAATTGTCATCTGTTGGTCTCTCTCGAGTTTCAGAAACTGCTACTTACGGCAGAGTATGCACCACCCCAAAAAAAAAGACGACATTGAAAATCGTGTCCTCGACATAAATTGGACAATTGGAGGACCTTCCAGTAGGCTGATTCACCCAAACAATAACATTTTATCTAAGAGCTTCCTTGACTTATAAGAATCGAAAATCGTGGCAAATAAAAAGTGCACAGGGTTAACGATGTTTTATTTTTCCACAGATTTTGTTCTTATTCGCAAACGATACATCCACTTTACATGGCCAGGTCTGTTAAGGCACAAAAGTTAAAATTTTGTGTCAGGGGACCTGGGTGTGAAAATTGTGCCTGTTGCTGTCGGAAATGAAGCATATGTGACGACCTGAGATACATTTCTTCTGAACCCAGCCGTATTATCTCCTTTGGAGTGGACCAGAATCCTCCAACTCTAGTGAAAAGGCTTTTACGAAGTAGTTTCAACTATGCGAATATGAAAGCGATCTTCGCAGTAATGAACGCTACTTGAGTAGTAGTGAATATAAGGCCTGAAAAAATATCTGTCCTGTACCCACGACCTCTGCGATACCAGTACCGCAGTGTTCCCTTACAGTGATCGGTGGAATCTATTGGACTAAGTAACCCTAAATATCTACTTCTTAACATTTAAACTGTGCATAATTTCGTGAGGAACTTACACATCTGTACCGGGAAATCGATGGCTTGTTATTGCTCAGTACCGAACTTCCTAGACGTAGGGAAAGGCCGCATACTGCCATTTAGGAACGAGGATTTATATGTTGAGAAATAAAAAGCTTTTAAATCATTAAAAATAAAGTCTAAATGCGTATTCTTGGAGGAAAAAGAAAAAGAAATGATTCCAGTTTGTAATGATAGGTATCACACATCCTCTACTAATGATGCGGCTTTCTCACACGTTTTGTTATCCGAATAGGTCGTCTTATAGCTTTGAAGAGTGATTATTTTAAGATTTTCTTTATTCTTGTTTTCTTTGTTTTATTTTCCTCGGAGTCTTGGACTGCTATAGTCTTTATTACGGAATTTCTATTTCGCAGTTGTTCCTTACATTTGTCTGAATGTAGTCACTTTAAGAGGCAATCCAATCGGACTCAAATCATTACTAAGTGCTACGTATCATACTTTCATGACTTGCACATTGCTTATTCTTGTCAGCTCTTAAGTGTTTTTATATATCCTTTACCTTCCTTGCATTAAATCCAGCTTGTTAGTCTTTGTTTCCAGGATCTGGTATCGGACTTTAGCAGTGTCGAGACCCGTATCTTCGGGGACACTTTTTGATACCTTGAAGAAACAGTTTGTTTTCTACCTTGTCATATGAAAGAACTCGCGTGTTTTAATGAGCCATAATTCGGCTGAAGTTTACTGATTATTTCACTTCAAGATTCTGTATTAGAGACTTAAAAACTTCAGGCAAAAGTGTTAAATTCGACCTGCCGAACTATTTTAGTTTGTAAACTATCGCAAATTGTGAACTTTGATGGTTTTTGAACTTTGATGGTTTGACACTTTTGACAGCTTTTGTGTTGTACAGCCAATCAGATTAATTGAACCATTCTAACAGGGATTCTGATTGGCTGATCGTAGCGTGCTTTATGAGAGTATACTGAGAGCATGCTGACGACACTGTTGTTCGCTTTGGAAATAAAGTTTGTTTTGAAAATTGAAAGTAATTCTTGGGGAATTTAACAGATTCTTTATCATAAAACAAATAGAGAAGCCTTGACTGTGCTCTGTTCCGTTATAAAGCACTTAGGAAGCGGCTAGAGCACTCAAGAAGTGGGGAGACTACGTCTCGTGTTTCTCCCTACACTTCTTTCGTGCTTTAGCCGCTTCGTGCGTGCTTTATAACAGAACAGAGCATAGTCAAGGCTTCTCTATTTGTTAAATAATGATAGCCTTTCTCATTGACCACTCTCCTAGTGAGTTGTTCTGCAAGTAAACGCATACACAGTCGGCCTAGTACTTTTTCACCCGCGTGCATTTAACAGGGAAGTGCATGTCTCTCATGTTTTTGCTTCTATTCAGCGGCTTATTCAAAAAGGCATAGAGAAAACGGAAAGTGAGTAAAGTTGCAATGAATTTTTTGCTGTATTATGGATCTTATCCTTCAGCTTACCTCTACTCGTTCGTAGGTGATGACCAATTTAATAATCAAAAATGTTGAATGAAAGGATAAGCGCTGATATAGTGAAGCCAACGTACAGTAGTTGTGCTATGTAATTGGACAAAGTATCACCGGGGATGAAGAGTTCCATATGTCTCGAACACCAAGCAATGTTCAGCCCAGGAAATACCGCGAAATGCGAAGTCAGCTAAAACCATTCTTACTTAAAGAAGATTGTCAAAACCCCAGAACGGAAATTTATTTTCAATTCAGCACTCTTAATCCCCACGATATCAACGAGCGATTTTCATTCAACTAATTCATTCTCGCATTCTTGTCACCTTATTCCCAACAATGGCTTAGCTGCATTTCTACATATCAACATACACACAACCCACAATTCCTCCATTCACCCTAAAGAAGGGCTAACGCTTGAAACTTCAGCTTTGAAACTCTTAACGGTGGCCATTTACGTTATCAACTCAGTTGATAATACTAAATTACCTTAACCTATAGATTGACTATTATCTCACAAGCTACAAACTCGTACTTATGTAAATGTGTTACAATCAAGTTTGTTCCTTTGTTGCGTAACAAATGCAAACATTTATATCCTCTGGTTATTTCATTTGTAAATAAATTTTCTTGCCCTTGCTTTATAGAATTCAGAAGGAGACCCTAGATCACATGAATTGATTTTGAAGGCTCATTTTTCAAAAATGAATTTAAAAAGTGGACATTCTTTTTTCCTTGGGGACTGTGGAGCACAGACTGCTAATGTGTCGTTTGGAATTTAGAATTCTGTCGTAGAACGTGGAATGAAAATGATCACCTGATCAGCTGACCGTTTGCCTGGCTGTCAGGCAACGGAGACAAGCGAATAAAGCGAGTGGAAAAACGCCGTGAGTGTTGCTGCGTCCCTAACAATCACAAATGATCGTTCGCCTATTGGTCCGCTGACTAAGTACCTGAAGCAAGTTAGAGTTGCTTCCATGTGAAATTATGACCATCTTAATAAGGAGGGGTGGCATAATTCACTTTCGTTTGTTGTAATGGTGAATCAAACTGAGCTTCGCTGGTGTGGGCAACTTAGGTTCTTTTTTGTGTTTTATGTTTCCTAGCTACAGTTAGATTATCTGTGTGAACAACATACTGCAACATACAACGCTCAAGTTTAATTAGCCTGTAATTACACCTTTTTCTGAACGTGATTACAAAAACAATGACTTGATCCAACTATGATTCTGTTCCAACTATCCATTCCCTACGTTCATCTAAAGAACCTGTGACGTAATAAAGCAAATCAATCCTCATCTTCATCGTCGTCGTCGTCGTCGTCGTCGTCATCATCATTATCGTCTTCATCATCGTGTTCGTTCTCGTGATGATCATTGTTTGAGTCCGCAGCATCATCGATTGTTTCATCGTTTTCTGATTGATGTTCCTCGTTAGAGGACCCTTCGTCTCCGCTGGGTGACTCTTCCTCATCTTCTTCTTCTTCCTCCTCTGGTTCTTTAACTAAACTTTCGTCACTTCCCTCACTGGAGTGAATGCCTACATGCGCTTGAAACATGATTAAGGGATTAATTGAAGACTAGCAATGCTTCATTAGTACTTAATCTCCATGCTAAAGTATTGAAGCAGAAATTTATTTAAAAACAAAATACGCAAAAATTCAACATGTAAACAAGCAAACAAAGCTTAAAACAAATGGAATAGATAGGTAGAGTAACAAACAATTTCAAACCAAAAAAAGATATTTATCTGTATTATTGAATTAATGAAACTATTAAAGAGAGCTGCGATTAACATAAGAACGAGCAGATCAATTTTTTATTTACCTCTCATGACCAGTATTGAATCTTTCTCTGGATTATTTCGTTTGTAAACGCGTTTCTCGTCCAGTTGTTCAATTGGGCGCCCATACGCTTAAAACGGTTGAACAGATTATAAGGATAAAGTAATACCAAGAAGAAGCATTTTAGAGCATTGCTGAATATATATCGTAAGAGTTATCGATACTCGATTCATCCGTGCTTGAAAAAGTAAGACTCTGAAAACCAACCAAATCTAGCTTGCTACAGGGAGACGGATTTGTACATCCCGTTTCTATTTTTTATTGCTTTTTCGACAACAAGCTATCGACCACTTCATTAATCTTGCAAAGGAAGAGAGACGTTTATTGGTTTCTTAAACATAGTGCGATCAAAGGAATTGCAAGAATTGCTGATCCTCAAAAATACTCCCATGAGTTCAACTACGTCTTAAAAATAATTATGAAGATCCCCTTGGACTCGAATCCCAGATATAGAGAACCCTACCCAAGTAGAAAGAAAACGACAGGGAAAATCGCTCATCGTTGACCTGGGATCTGAACCGGTGCCTCCATGACCGGCTCATGGTTAGCTACTTTCTTCGGATTTGGTGCAGTGAAGACAGCGAAGATAGTGTATTTCATGAAGGTTTTTTAGAGTGAACAATGTTAAAATTGCACTTCGTTCTTACCATTGATGACGGCACAGCACAGTATCAATGCAACTATGACAACTTTCATGGTTCCCTGAGTGTAAGAACGTGTCTTTCATTCAATTTCCATTCAGATGCAAGTGAAGTACGTAACTTTTAAAACAGTGTAAATGATCACCTAAGTTAAGCGGAGTGTGACTCATACATTTTAGCAGCGTTAAATCTAGTTTCAGTAGCGTGTTTTGAGCGCTTCAAGGTTACGCCTATCCCTATGAACAGTTAAAAGACGATCCCGCATAATTTCTCTCCAGTATTTTGTCAATTTTCCTTGAAAGTTTGATGCCATCCATTTAAACTCCTGGCTGAAAGAAGTTGGTGTCATGAGGAAATAGTAACATGCTTTTTAACTTTTGTCTCGATGTTCAGATCACGGCAAGGAAAAAATGTTCTTGGAAAAAGATCATCTTGTGAAAATCATCACAACCATCTGAGGCGTTATAAGATACACTAGTGAACTTACCAGTTTGCAGGGTCAGATATCCGCTAACTTAAAATGTGATTTATGATATCACTTATCGTTAGCCTTGAACTAAGAATGAAGGATGTGGACCTGTTTATATCACAGCAACCAATGAATTGCAACCACGGATGAGACAAGATATTCAACAATCTGAGCATGTCGGGTCAATAACCTCCGTAAAACAACGACTAGTCAACAAGTCAGCAATCTTTCATGGATGAATGTCCAAATTCTCCACACATTATTAAAACATTAAACGTGGATTTAACTAGCGTTGCAAAGTATATATCTGAGAGCATTTAAGGCAATATAGAAATATGTTTCAAACTAAAAAAATAAAAATATGATCAGTTTGCTTCCTTCTGCTTTCGGTTACAATAAAGTTTTAAATATGGAATAGTTTTTCATTGGTACAGCTACAGGAAAGCCCTTAAGACTAGTATTTGAGCAAGAAACTTTGTTACGGGAATTTCTAATTTTACCACAATTGAGATGACAAGCAAGCAAGCATATTTCATACATGAACTGTTATGCCTTGTCATCTAATGTTTTTGTTGTGAGAGTGGCCTATTCTTGGGTCCGTTAAATATTCATTGAAAGGTTATATAGAATCTATGAAGAGAGAGCCTTTCATATTGTTTTCGGGTGGTATCTTTTGTTATGCTAAGTACTTACCTGTTTGTAAGTTCTCGTACCGTGGGCTAACAACACCATCACGAGAGCATTTTACCTGTGTTCTCCCTAGTGAAAGTTCGTATCACTAATTTGGAGTTGGTGCAACCTGATTGCTTCAGATGCCTTTGATACCGATTCCAGTGTTACGAAGCTGTTTCAAACCATGTTTCATACCACGGGGAAATGCGTAATTCTCTTTATGTACGGAAATAATTCCACAGCTCTGGAGGATTAGAAGATCTTCTTCACGTGTTGAGCTTCTAACGGGTCTCAGATTCCTTCACTGCTGGCGAATTCTTTCTGTCAAGAACTCTTCACCCCTAGCATCAGTTTCTAAGTAGCCAACGGGTAATATACGCGATGCTGACAACTCAGCACGGGTTAAAATACATACGCTCGGTTCACATGTTCTTAATCCCGTGTTTCATATTTATTCCATGAGTCATATGCGAGTATTCTCCCTTTCCCAGCCAGAATTTCATTTCAAAAATTTCTACATTTTTACACGGGACGTTTTCCTTGCATCAATATTTTCTTTCGCTAAAGGTGATTCCTCAATTTTGCACTGGTAAATCCTTTACTGCGGATAAAAATCACGTAATCAGGCGAATAAGCGCGCGCATACCGGGAACACGGCACTGTTTTTTCAATAAATGGACCAGGTAAAGAGGTACAATGGTCTGTAGCTCTTGAACGAGCACGATGACCTATATTTTTTTACTGCATAATTTTGGTGTACAAATTATTCCCTTTAAATTGGACGAAACTAGAAAAAAAAAGTCATCGAAGGGAAAAAAAGATGTAGCTAATTGAAAAGCCTGCACTCAATGATGCAAATTATGACCTTAAGGAACGTGTTGAGTCGATGTCGTTTAAAATTGCGTGACTTTTTCCACAATTTATGGATAAAATGTTTCTATATCCCCAAGACTTCCTACCCATCAAGTTTTTTTTTTCAAGTTTAAAGTGTATCGTGAACCGATGAAATGACGCGCGTGATTAGTACCAGTAGAGTCATAAATACGGGGTAAGTTCGGTACATAATATCTCTTAAACAAGCACACTGACCTAAATATCTTTTTAGTTACATTTTTCGAAACAGACGTGAGTAGAGAAAATCGAAGGAAAGTTAAAAAAAAGATGTTCGATAACTTTTTTTTTCTCGAGGAAACACCTTACATTTGGTGAAATATACTTACCTCAGATTTTTAGGTGAACTTCAATCAGTTTTTAATCAATCTTTTTTATTCCATGTTTTCTGAGTGGCAATCATTAAATTAAATCAGATTTTAGAAAATAAAAATCCACTGCTTCGCAGGAACTGCGCTTTAAGCTGTCCAAAGCTGGGAAAGCTAACGATTTTCGAATTACGAGTCATTTCCCAGAACTGGCTTACAGTCAATAAGATTATTGTGAAGCTACTACGTATCTCTTTTCCGAGAAAAAATTAATCTTTTGCATCATTTTAAAAACTAGGGATTGTATTACAAATGACACTGCGTTTAAAATTTTACATCAACATCTGGAAAAACTGACCAACCCGCTGTCTATAATTGTAAATCAGTCCAAATATGGTAATACATGTAGAATTAATATCATTATCATTCCAAGCTGCCTGAAAGCATCAAATCGTCCGTTTGGGCTGTTGTTCAACAAAGGATCGAACAGAAAAGCTTGGGTAAGTCCTATGAAGTTAATTTCCTGTACTAAGAGCTTAGGCTTTGTGTTTATAAAACTAAATGGTATCCCTCTTACCAAGTTAGTCCTGATAATAGACTCTCTTATGAATTTTGTCACGTAAGAGTGAAGAAAACCGCCCGCTCACCACTTCCGTTTTGGTAAACAATTGCTTTTTCTATGCACAGCGACCGATGTTTTAATCAAACCAGTTCCTCCACTTGATTTAAGAAATTATGCTACGTGCACTATGACATTTAAGCGTCTTGTTAAGAGCATCTTCATATATATATATCAGTACAAAAGATGCTAAGAGAGCCAAGTCGTGGCAAGCCTCCCTTCCGCCTTTACGCCTATTTCATTGAAATGCCATCAAACAGGCAAAGCACTAATCAGTTAAGGATTAGAGTCAAGCTATATATACAGCTATGTGAGAAAATAGTGGATGTTGTTAAGTGATTTGGCACCGGTAATGTTCAAAATTTATCCCATGCCGAATACGTCAAGCCAATACTACCAGCTTTTTCGTTTGAGATGTTATTGTAGCAGGCATCGAAGGGGCGAGTTAGTATGCGTCGAATGCAAATACTCAACATCGCCGTCGCTTCTAATAGATCTCTATTTCGTTCTGAATCCATGTTGAACAACTTATGAAGTCTGAATTATGAGACATGACAGGTAGAAACTGAAAACCAGATTGCTAAGCGCTTCCGCCGAGAACTTTCGCTTTTATCACCTTAAGATTTGTTATTTGGTGTGTTCAGTTACGTGTAAGCAGCGTCTATCGCCGATAAAGGAAAGCTAATAATCTACCGGTCGATTTTAAAGAAATTTTTGGTTATTTTTATGGGCTTCTAGTTAGGACATCTAAAACTTTTTATTTTGCATTACATCACAGGGATTCTAGCGAGAAGAGGTAATTGCATAGGTTTCACTATCATTTCCGACACACTCGAGTGAATATCGCAATGTTTTTTTGTTTTGTTTTGTTTTTTTGCATATGAAAGACGTATTTAGTTCGGTGATTTATCGCCACCTGACATGAGAGGATCTTCATGAAGTTAAACAATCGCCGTAAAAAGGCCAAAAATTAAATTATCCGTTGGGGAAAAAAAATTGACACATTTTAACTGATAGTTTACCGTAAAAAAAAATTAGCGGTGACAACAATAGAATGATGTTAACCGTTAACCGTAAAATGGTCAAAATTTTAACCATTATCCCTAAAAGCCATCACCCCATTGAAACTCTCACATAAGGCTGTTTAATTCCAAACCAGTAGCTTATACACTGCGACAACGGAGCTCGTGTTTTCTTAAATATCTTCTGTGTTGTCCTTCGCGGATTGTCCATAATTTCATTACATTATTCATGTAATTTCGCAAGTAACGGACCCAAGTTTTATTTTTAAACTTATAAGGGACTTTTCAAACTATCAAAACAAAGTGGTCGGCATTGAACTGGATGGCAGTGAAATACTATGATTACTACCCGGCAATAAAGTGGTAAGAGCAACTGATCTCTCCTGCTGGAACTGAAAGGGGCATAATGTCATCAGAATTTCAAGAGCCCAGATAATCTGCTGGCTTGGCTCGAGTTATTTTCGAACCTTTATGACCTCGCATATGATTTTGGAAGGAATACAACCACTTTGAGCGAATTCATGGGGTAAATGGATTTGACCGATTATCATCAAATTTCGCCCAAACGTTCCAGGAATAATGGCAAACGAAAGCGTGTCGGGAAATTTTGATCTTTGAAATATTTGTCTCACGACGTGCACTTACGCAACACGCCTCGCATATTTTTAGCTACCCAAATTTAGATATCGACATCTAGACAACCAATCAGAATATCGAAAAAGCCTGACACACTGTTGTTGATTGATGCCTTGTGAGTAAGAGCGTACAGCCATTTGGCTCATAATGCGGCATCCGATACCCGATAAATTCAATAGAAGAACCCTCGATCGTTACCCTCGAGCCTTACCGGCTCCTGACACTTCCTTTAAAAAAAAGTTGCTTAAATTATCTTTTTATCGTAAACTGCATTTATTAAGCTTTCTTCTGATGTATAGTTTGCTAGGATTTTAGTAAAAGTAGCGCGCATACGAATTTTTTCTCGAAGGACACCCGCGAAGGTGGGAAGTAACCTTAAGTTTGGAGAAAAAAATCTTGAGTCAAAATAAACATTTTGCGTAACTGGATGTTAAGAAAGGGATTGTCGTGATGTAAGTACGTTTGCGTTGAGGCGGAAAGCACTAGGTAGCTCATCAATCTGACAGCGGAAAGATAAGACACCTACATTTTAAAGCATACTTCAATTTGACAGTTGAACCTTTCTCATCAATACGCGATTTCCTTTCTCAGAACACCAAGTCATTCTGCCTCATTCTTTTCGCTGGCTAAAACGAACATAAGTCAATATCAAGCGTTGGATTTTGTCCTTGAGTAGCATGGTGTTATAATGTCAGACGTGTAGATCAAGTGAGGCCAGGTATGCTACGATAATTAAGTTTTCCAAGCTTTCGTCGATCTACGGCATCATCAAGAAATGTAGATGGAATCAAGATTCCATGATGCTGTAGATCGGCGAAAACTCGGAAAACTAAATTATCGTAGCATACCTGGCCTCACCTGATCTACACGTCTGACTTTATAAATCAATATGGTCAGCTATTTACCGGAACATGTTATACCAAAAGTGAAACTGACAACACCTGAACATTGTGATGTTGATGAAAGAAACACTTCGCATTGATATCAAAGATGAAAGCACGAATATCACGTATCAGGTTAATCCTTTCATCATTTGCGTCATCCGTTTCAGAAACGTATCATCTCGAAACCGAAAATTGCAATATAATCGTTGTCAAGGTTCATCGGTCATATCATACCACCTCATTAGTCAACCAATCATTTTTTATTAGGATCAGTTATAAAAACAGGAAAGAAAAGAAAATTATTTCATTAGTTCTAGCGTGCGAAGAAGAAGACCAGAGGACGCTATCTGAGAACCCCAGTGGTAAGACGAATTTTATGTTTAAGTAAGCAAAATGCACGCGGTTAGATGCGAATTTAAACAGCAATTTTCGTGACGTTTACTGCTCGTTCTATAACTAGGGCTCAGACTTGATTCCTGATTAACCCACTCAGACACGAACGGCGAGTTAACAGTTTTTTAATCAGCCTTAAAATGTAACAGAAATTGGCATTCGAGCATCGTAATTAAAATTGAGGTTCTGACTTACAATAGTCACCAACGAATATCTTGCATTTCCAGCATCGGCCTCTAAAAAAAATAGGGCGAGCAATGCAGACGACATTCATTTTCTTATTTGCGATTTCCCCTTAGAAAAATTACTAATTAGCAATAATCTATTTAAAAAAAAAAAATTTCGATTTTCCGACTAGTGATCACATTCTGCAAAATAAATACTCTAAGTAACTTCTAAACAATATCTACATTTGCTTAAGTTATGGTGAGAGGATAGGAGAATCGATTAAATACTTCATTTAAGTGAACGCCTTTACAAAACATATGTAGACTTTCACATCTGTTGGTCTGTTTATTCTAAATCAAACATGTGGTATTAACGTGCCTAACCGGCGCAATTGGAATGATTAAATCAAGCTTGAAATTGTCTAGATAGCGTTATGAGAGACCCATATTCAGTATACCGTGACTGACTTTTGAAATTTTTTAATGCTTGAGATTTCAATGTCAATGTGCATCTACTTGTGAAACTATGATCGAAACAGAAACAACTTCGAAAACAAAACACAACGAAGTTATTGATAATGAAGTTTGATCGTCGGGATTCAATTATTATTATTAATTTCATCTTATTGTTTCGGTCCAAAAGGAGACCACGTGAACCACTACACAGGACACTGCTACCCACCTCTGCTCACCGTTGTCGCTACCCTCTTTCGTACTCATCTCTTTTTCATTTCTTGAACATTTTTTCTTGGCAGAACATGCTTTTGACGATCATAGTCTTCGGTCTCGTCGCCCAACATTTTCTAGGCTGTGATGCTGACTCTCCTTACACCCCAAAAGGAAAAGGAGGCGATGTGGTTGCCGATGTTGTAGAGATGATCAATAGCTTGGGTATATTTCCAAACGATCACAAGTTCCTTTGTCGCGTTGCCTGGGTCGAGTCCAAATATGGAGTGGCGCCAGGAACGTATAGGCCATCTTATTACGGGGGAATTTGGCAGGTAAAGATATTGGTCCGGGAAAAGATA